TTCACTAGGGGAAGGAGTCTCAGAGCAGTTTACAATCTCCTTTCCCTTCCCCTCCCCACAACAGACACCCTGTGAGGTAGGTGGGGCTGAGAGAGCTCTTTCAAGGACTAACCTTGAGAGAACAGCTCTGAGAGAACTTGTGACTGACCCCACCAGCAGGTGCACGTGGAGGAGTGGGGAATCAAACCTGGTTCTGCCAGATTAGAGTCCACGCTCCTAACCACTACACCAAATTGGCTCATTAAGTGGTACAGAAATGACATAAATGGTATCACGATCGTTACCATGACCTGGATAGCCCAGGCTAGCTCGGTCTCATCTCAGAAACCAAGAGGGCTGGTTGGCCCTGGCTAGTATTTGGACAGGAGATCTCCAAAGAACACCAAGGCCGTGACACAGAGGCAGGCAATGGCAGACCACCTCTGAATGTCTCTTGCCTTGAAAACCCTACGGGGTCGCCAATAGTCAGCTGTGACTTGACAATCACTTCCAATCGTTGCAAGGATTAAATGGGGAAGGGATAACCGCACACTCTGTCTCCCAAGTTCTTTGGAAGAAGGGCAGGACAGAAGGCTAGACAGAGAGGTCTATCACAAGCGATTAGCAAGGACAGCCAAATAGAACCTCCATGTTCAAAGGCCATTTACCATGCAACTACCAGGGCCAGGGCCTTTTCACTGGCGGCTCCATCCTGGTGGAATGAGCTCCCGGAGGAGCTCTTCCACCAGGCCTATAATTAATTTGTATTAATCAGTGTAAGCCGCCCTGAGCCTGCTGTAAAGCGGGGAGGGCGGGGTATAAACCAAAAACCAGACATGGGGAGAGAGAGAGAGAGAGAGAGACAGACAGACAGACAGACAGACAATGGGGGATGGGCAGAGCTGCCAGCAACATACCTCGAGGTGGGGCAGACCACTACCTGCACATCCCCTCTCGCATTTCGTTTGCCCACTCACTCGCAAGCATTCCACTTCCTGTGCTCCTGGCTATCTGGGCTGCGCAGCAGGGAAAAGTGTTCGGGTGGTACAAACAGTGCTCCTTATGGTCACAGCAGTGGCTCTCCCAGCCACACCCACTGTGGGTTTGATTCCCCACTCCTCCACATGCAGCTGCTGGTGTGACCTTGGGTCAGTCACAAGTTCTCTCGGAGCTGTCCCCTCATGAGCAGTTCTTGAGAGAGCTCTCTCAGCCCCACCTACCTCACAGGGTGTCTGTTGTGAGGAGGGTAAGGGAAAAGAGATTGTAAGCCACTCTGAGGCAGGTACTGAAAGGCGGGGTATAAATCCAATTTCTTCTTCTTGGCATGCAGACGGTCCCAGGTTTAATCCCTGGCATCTCTAGCTAAAAGGGTCAGGTAGCAGGTGATGTGAAAGACCTCTACCTGAGATCCCAGAGAGCCGCTGCCTGTTTGAGTAAACAAGACTGACCTTCATGGACCCATGGTCTGAATCAATATACGGCAGCTTCATGTGTATACATATCTGAACGCTGTTGGAAACAGTGCACTGGGACTAGATGGACTCTGAGTCTGAACCACGACAGCTATCCTTCTAAAGTCTCAGGGTTTGGCCACTGCACAATGAACGGAATGCAGCGTAGGCCAGAACAGTTGCCCGGAGGGCAGACCAGAAGGTCCTTCCAAGAAGGGGCGGGGGGGGGGGGGAGAGGCTCTTTTGGGAGAGAGGTTTCTCAGGACACAATCCCAGACTTCTCATCCCCCACCCCCACCCCTATTGCCAACACTTATTCTTGCTCCAGTTTCCTTCACAGTTAGGTAAGAAGTCTTGAATGGCAAATTTCTGAACAGGGGGAAATCCCTTTGGATTTGTCTGGGCAAGACGAAGTCTGTGAGGCAGCATTTTCGGGAAATTTCCAGTCACTGAGGCACCCTCCCCTGCGAAATGAAAACTGGGAGGCACACTCCCCTCTTCCATGCTTTTAGAGCCCACAAATAACAGTGTGGTATAGTGATTAGAGTGCTGGATTAGGATCTGGGGAGAGCCGAGTTCAAAACCCCACTCTGCCATGGAAGCTGCTGGGTGACTTGGGAACTGTTAACACGCTCTCAGCCAAGCCTACCTCGCAGGGTGGGTTGTGGGGATAAAATGGAGGAGAATAATGTAAGCCACTCTGGGAGTAAAGTGGGGTATAAATGAATTATATAATAAATGAATTATATAATTCTCTGTATCTGGGGTGCCCGACAGTTCCCTCCTAGGTAGGCCTACTGTGAATCCTATCCAGGTCAATGCAGTGGGGGTTTCCTCTCAGAAAGTGTTTGTTTATTGATTTTATTTTATTATTTACATTTATATCCCGCCCCTCCCGCGGGGGGGGGGGGAGCCCTCAGGGCGGGTAACACCATTAAAATAAATACAATTTCAGTTTAAAACGTTAAAACACAATAAAATATTATAACATTTAAAACAAAACAAAACAGCATAAGTTGACCGTAGAGTTCTGGCCTGATGGAACATTGAGTTAAAGGCCAGTTGTCGGTGGTCAGTAGGCAGGTGACAGATGGGTGACAGCAACCTCAGGGAGGCCATATGTGGACGCCCACGGCCTCAACCAAAGGCCTGGCAGAACAGCTCCGTCTTGCAGGCCCTGCGGAATTGAAGGAGATCCCACAGGGACCTGGTCTCAATAGGGAGCATGTTCCACCAGGCTGGGGCCAGAACAGAGAAAGCCCCGGCCCTGGTCGAGGCAAGGCGGGCGTCCTTCGAGAGGTGCTGATCTTTTAAGCGTAACGCTCTTTGAGGCGTATATGGGAAGAGGCGGTCCCTTAGATATGTTGGTCGCAGGCCGTATAAGGCTTTGAAGGTCAAAGCCAACACCTTGTTCTTAGAATTGCTCTGTAAATGCTTCAATCACCTGTGAAGTCATGGCATAAGAACATAAGAGAAGCCAATGCTGGATCAGGCCAATGGCCCATCCAGTCCAACGCTCTGTCACACAGTGGCCAAAAATACCAGGTGCCATCAGGAGGTCCAGCAGTGGGGCCAGGACACTAGAAGCCCTCCCACTGTTGCCCCCCCCCAGCACCAAGAAGACAGAGCATCACTTGCCCCCGAGCCCCTACCTATACCATGTGGCTAATAGCCACTGATGGACCTCTGCTCCATATGCTTCTCTAATTCCCTCTTGAAGCCATCCATGTTTCTAGCCGCCGCCATCTCCTGCAGCAGTGAATTCCATGTGTTAATCAGTCTTTGGGTGAAGAAGTGCTTCCTTTTATCCGTTCCAACCCGACTGCTCAGCAATTTCATTGAGTGCCCACGAGTTCTCGTATTGTGAGAAAGGGAGAAAAGTACTTCCCTGCCTCCTCCCCTCCCCTGAAGAACCGGATGACCAAGAAGTGAGGCCAGAGCAGGAAATCACACAGAGTTGTAGCAGGCAACCTCTTTTGCTAGTGTGTGCTACTCAATTTATTTTTGCCCACAGCATCACATCATTTAGGGATGACTGCTGCAGGGTTTCGGGATTTGCACTCATTCTCAAAACAGGCAGCAATTCACCCCGCCTTCCCAGTTGGGGGATGGAAAAAATGTTCCCTCTGGCCCCATTAACTTTACCCCCTCCCCCACTCCTCCAGTTTGTCAACAGACAGACTTCAAGGAAGAAGCCTTCCTTAATTAAGAGCCTCCAGCGATCTGGAGACACAGGAGAGCCAAGGTTGCAGTTGTGGGAGGGATTTATATTCTGCCAGGTCTGCTCTTTGCGCTTCTCTGGGTGTAGACAGAGAGTTTCATTCCTCCTGATCTCTATCTAACCCAGCCCTTCATTGCCAAATTTTGTGTGGGCTTTGCTGCTAGCACATAACAGACTTTTAACCTATCCCCTGCAGACGGACATTTTCTGGTATTGCAAATAAGTAAAATGCATAGGGTTGCCAGCCTCCAGGTGGGGCCTGGAGATCTCCCGCTTTTACACCTGATCTCCAGCTGACAAGAGGTCAGCTCCCCTGGAGAAAATGGCTGCTTTGAAGGGTGGGCTCTATGGACTTGCACCATGCTGAGGCCCCTCCCCTCCCCAAACCCCGACCTCTCCTGGCTCCACCCCCAGAGTCTCCAGGTATTTTCCAACCCAGACCTGGCAACCCTAAAAATGCAGCTGTGCTCCAAAACAAAAGGAAAACCCCTATGCAAGGCCCTGAGTCAATAAAGGTCCTCAGTTTGCAAGACCCAAGCAAGACTGTTAATGATAGGACATGTTGGAGGACATTGAGAGCCAGTTTGGCGTAGGGGTTAGCAGTGTTCCCTCTGAGCTGAGTTAGCGTGAGCTAGCCCACAGTTTTTTAGCCTCCAGCTCACACATTCTTGTCTTGGCTCAGGAAGGATGGGGCTCCAGAGCAAACTCATTTATGCAGTAGCCAAAGCTCTTGCTCACAACTTTAATGCCAGTTGCTCACAAAGTAGAATTTTTGCTCACAAGACTCCACCGTTTAGAGGGAGCATGGGTGGTTAGGAGTGCAGAATCAGACTCTAATCTAGGAGAACCGGGTTTGATTCCCCACTCCTCCATATGCAGCTGCTGGTGTGACCTTGGGTCAGTCACCGTTTCTCTCAGAGCTGTTCTCATAAGAGCAGTCCTTGAAAGAGCTCTCTCAGCCCCACCTACCTCACAGAGAGTCTGTTGTGGGGAGGGGAAGGGAAAGGAGATAGCAAGCCACTCTAAGACTCCTTCAGGTAGCAAAGGGCAGGGTATAAATCCAATCTCTTCTTCATTAATACATAAGGTTTATTTATTTTATTTATTCATCTTTGGATTTATATCCCGCCCTACCCCGAAGGCTCAGGTCAGCATACGTCGGAAGTGACCTGACGGCCCTTAACGCACAACACAAAGGGCCCTGACCCACAGAAAGGTTCTTTGCGGCTCCCCCCGCCTTCTGAGATTACATCGAGCCGTGCCTGGAATGCTTTCGAGTGAATCTCTGCCACCCAAAAGGCTAGAAACTTGCGTTTTTGGATCTACACTGCGATCTGCGCCGCCCTCACCTTGCCCTCAGCGTGGTGAGCTTTCCCCCACTCGTTCATGACAAAGACATCGTTGACCGAGAGGCAGGCGATGATCTCCACCCCTTTGCCTTTCAGCTGTCCGGCTTTCTCCACGTAGCCTGGGAGGTGGGTCTGGAGGGGAAAGGAGAGAGAAGGAGTGATCATCGTCAGAGACAGTCTTGATGCAACCAAAAGGGAACGGGGGGGGGGGTAAGGAACAGAGTATTTCAAAACAACGTAACATTTATGAAGTGCTTTTCCTTCACGTGTGTGACCTCAGCCTTCTTTACAATACCCCTGTGAGGATGCGCTCCAGGTAAAAAATGATTGGGGGTGGGGTGGGGAATCTAGAATCCCCACCTCACTTCTTTGGCAAGATCAGCTCAGAAGGTCTTGCAGTCAGCCCGAAATTAGTACATACCAGGGGTTCTCAACATGGTGCCCATGGGCATCATGGTGCCCACCAGCACCTTTCCTAGTGCCTACCAAATGTTTTTAGAAAGTGGAGGTGGCCACGTGGGGGTCTTGCTCAGCAGTGCTTTTGACTGCCTGTGCGGGTTAAAGTAAAGTGGGTTTTTTTTGCATTTTTCCCCCTTCATTTTTAACCTGTTTATTAAGAGGAAGTATAACATATCAAGAAATATAATAACTGCAAAACAGTATACAACTGTCCTGAAAATCCAAAATTACAAACCAACCAGTTAGTCATCAATACAGATTTTTACAACACACATCAACAGTCATAACAAACTAAGTTAGAACTAAATCCGATCACCTATACATAGATGCTATGTGAGCTATGAATCCCATAGAATTGAGTCAAGTTTAAAAGATAACATCTTCAGGAGTCTGCTGCTCTGATTCACAAGAGGAGTCTCGACAGTAAAGTTGTTTCAGTTGCAGCTGCCCCCACGGTGTTGGTTTTATTCTCCCTTACTCCTTTGTCCCAATGTATTTTTAAATTGCCTCATTTCTCCCATGCACTTGGGCTTCCTCGCTGTGTTTGGCTCTGCCTCTTGTGGCAGCCATTTTGTAGAAGAAGAGAAGAGGAGAAGAGATTGGATTTTTACCCTGCCCTTCACTACCCGAAGGAGTCTTAGAGCTGCTTACAATCCCTTTCCCTTCCCCTCCCCACAACAGACACCCTGTGAGGTAGATGGGGCTGAGAGAGCTCTCTCTCTCGAGAACTGCCCTTGAGAGAACAGTTCTGAGAGAACTTGTGACTGACCCAAGGTCACGCCAGCAGCTGCATGCGGAGGAATAAGAAATCAAACCCGGTCCTCCCAGATTGTAGTCCATGCTCCTAACCACTACACCAAATTGGCTCTCTGTAGTTGTACCCACCAGGATTCCAAAGGTGCCTGCCGGCTGGAAAACACTAGGGACCCCTGGTTTATATCCTGCATGCCCATATATAACTTAGACATTTGTGGTCAAGGAAGAATAACGTTGTCATTTCCTTGCATGGCCACCTGGAAGCAATGTTTACCCACCACAGGTGAGCGGTACAAACTAAGAGACAAGCACAGCAAGAATCCTCCCTGCAGTTTTCCCCTCTACCAGATTCCCTTCTGGTACGTTCCACTTTTTTGTACATTCTGCGGAAACATGAAATAGCAGCGTAGGTAGATGAGCCGATTAGGGTTTTTTGGGGGTGCTGTGGCATCACTGCCATAGCGTCAGAGCACATTTCAAGCAGCTGTCTCTTAAGTTTCCGTTCCGTTCATGCATTTTTTTTTCTTCTGTCAGCAACCAGATCTCATTAATTTTTTTTAAAAAGAGAACAGTCAGCCAACTGTTCTTTAAAACCGTGAAGAAAGCATTCCGATTGATGTCCTCACTCGGAAACTAAGCTTAGTGGCTAGATTTGCAGAAGAAATTGGGCGGATTTTTGAAAAAACACAGGGGGCTCAAGCAGCGCATATTTAACAGTGAGGAGCCCGAGGTAGCTGCCTTCCCTGTCAGGAAGAACCGCCGAGAATGGACCTTATTTCAGATCTCAGTCAGGCTTGGCCTGCTGTTCATGAAGGATGAGTTTAGTAACAATCACAGCCCCAGCCTGACGGAAAAAAAATATTTTTTTTACTGTTGACCTGGGTTTCCCACACCTCTTGTTTTATTCTGTCAAGTCTGGATTTGAAGGATTGGGGCGGCATCAAAAAAACAGCACCCCACATCCAGGCCTTACCTTTGAGCAACCAGGGGTGAATGCCCCGGGCACTCCGAAAAGGATCCCTTTCTTGCCCATGAAGAGGCTGGCCACATTCACCTTGTTGCCAGGGTCTCCCTCGTAGACCTCCACGCTGGGGAGCTTATCTCCAACCTGTTGAGGGAAGCAAGGGTTTCAGACCTGCGGGACTTCTTTCCCCAGTGCGACAGCACTACTGCTTAGAGGGCAGGGAAATGGCATCATATCTAGGCTCCTCTCCACAAAAAGAAAACAATCAAACAAAGACCACAACTCCCAGGGGAGGCTACAAGGCTTTTCAGAGCTCTTGGTCATGGTTGTCCACAAAGCCCTGTATGGTTTGGGACCAACATACCTGAAGGACCATCTATCCCCTTATGAATCCACCTGACCACTATGGTCATCTTTGGAGGCCCTGCTTTGGGTGCCCCTACCTTCTGGGATTAGGCAGGTAGCAACCGAGGAAAGGGCCTTCTCAGTGGCACCAAAACTCTAGAACTTTCTCTGTTCCCTCCCGTTGCTGTCTTCCGCCAGCACATGAAGACTTCTTTTGTTTCGTTTGGCATTCTCTCAGTGATCTCTCCTTCCCATCCAATGTTTTAGTTGCTGCTTTTTATGTTTCGTAGGCATTTTAATTGTTTTTTTAAAAATGTTTTCACGATTTTAATGGTTTTAAAATGTGCTTTTATCATTGTATGTTTTAAAATGTTAGCTGCAATCGGGGGCCCTTGTAAAGGCAGAAAGGCAGGATCAAATTTTGGGGGGGAAGGAAGGAAGGAAGGAAGGGGGAGAGAGAGAGAAACAAAGAAAGCAAACAGATGGAGAGGAGGGAAGAGAGAGAGAGAGAGAGAAAGAAAAGGAAGTAAGGCTCTCTATGGCAGGCCTCTTCTTGTCTCAGTCACAGGCATCATTCTCTTCCATCCCATCCAACGGTCTCCAATGGAGGGAGCGGAGAATGACTTTTTCAGTTATGTTGGAAACATCAGGTTTGAAAGGAACAAGGACGAGTTACTGTAGTGCCCATGGCAAAGCAGGTAAGAGAGCAGGTACCCACAAGAATACAGGAAATCAATCTATACTCTCCAGTTGAGTGTGCCCGCTACCAAGCTGTGAGCTTTGGCAGGTGCCCAATGCCAGCTCTCGACATGCTTTCTGTTAGAAAAATCCCAGTTCAAACCCAGCCTGAACTTTCTTCTGAAAGTAGATCCCCAAAGAAAGTAAAGCCACCATTCATGGTTGTGCCAATTCTTCCCCCCACAACCCTCACCCAACTAGGGTCGCTGGCTCCAGGTTGGGAAATACTGGGACATTTTGAGGGGGGGGGCTTGAGGAGGGCGGAGTTTGGGGAGGAGAAGGACTTCAGTGGGGGATGATACCATAGAATCCACCTTCCAAAGCAGCCATTTTTTCCAGGTGAACTGATCTCTGTTGCCTGGAGATCAGCTGTAATAGCAGGAGATCTCCAGCTGCCGCCTGGAGGATGACAACCCTATACCTAACTGATATGTGAAATTCCAGAGAGCTAAAGGGAATCTATTCCAAGAGGCAGAAACAAAAGGATGTCAACTCAACAGGTTGGGAGGGCTATTTTTGGAGCTTTTGAAGATGATGGCAGTTTTGCAGGACTGTGGTCAGGTTTATTTATTTACTTACAAAATGTATATCCTGCTTTTCTGTCCAATCAGGGCTACCAAGGCAGTTAACCCTCAAAAAAAGAACATTACAAAAACACAACAAATAAAACCAAAAGGAAAATACCTATATAACAACATAGGGTCAATGACTAAAATATGGGGTAGAGAGAATCAGGTGGGGTAGCCGTGTTGGTCTGAAGCAGCAGAACAACGTTTGAGTCCAGTGGCACCTTTAAGACCGACAAGGTTTCATTCAAGTTATAAGCTTTTGTGTGCACGCACACTTCTCCAGATACAACGAAATGGAAGTTACCAGTCCATACATATAGACAGAAGGTGGGTAGCAAATTAGCATACAGCATGATGAAGATATTTAACAGATGCAAGGACCAAACAGGAATAACAAGCTTAGGTTACCATTTGTTTGGGTTTTGATTCTGGGGGGGAAACATAGTGAAGGAAATACATATGTCAGAATTGGAGGCTGATGGGCAGATGTATCCTTAATTGTGGGATGTTGACAGTAATTAACTGAGACCCTGCCATTACGCTCCATCCATTTCCTCTCAAGCACGGAGGCAACCTTACAGCACCTCCTTCTTTGAAGTGGGGCGATTGGCTGTGTAGTTATCTCCCCTGTCCCCAGACCAGATAAATATGTTCCATTCTACCATTCCGAATTACATTACATTCTACTATTCATTATGTTACACTACAATCTATTATTGTAATCTATTATTCCAAATAAGTAGAGAGGAGCGGGTTATTGAGGGACCACCGGATGAAACCAAAAGAATGTTCACCTGCTGACTGAAGACAGTGATGGAAGGTTTTTGCATTCTATGTGGTGGGGGTGTGGGGGTTATTCTAACAAGGCTCTGTCAGATTGTTTAAGGGTCTGTAAAGCAGTTTTGGGAAGCAGAAAGAGGGCTTGTTTGACACACCATTTGACACACCAAGGGCCTGGTTAGATATCACTCAATGGGCAATGGTAACATATTGATTTGGCAGGGCTTCTGGATTATCTAGAGCAGTGGTCCCCAAAATGTGGTGCCCGCCAACACCTTTTCTGGCACCCGCCAAGTGTTTTTAGGAAGAAGAAGAGATTGGATTTATACCCCACCCTTCACTCACAGTTTTTTTGCCTCCGGCTCACACATTTTTGTCTTAGCTCAGGAAGGATGGCTCCAGAGCAAACTAATTGATGCAGCAGCCAAATCGCTCGCTCACAACTTTAATGCCAGTAGCTCACAAAGTAGAATTTTTGCTCACAAGACCCCACAGCTTAGAGGGGGCATTGGCTGGCTTTTGCCCAGCAAGGCTTCTGATTGGCTGTGCAGATTTTTTAAAAATGTTGGCTTTGGCAGCAGCTGCCCTCACAGCACAAGGATCTGCTCTGTGGCAATATTTTGTGGTTGGCTCCACTTCCTGCAGCAGCGGTTTTGTTGCTGTGCCCACCATGCCATGTCAGAATTCCAAATGTGCTTGCGGGCTCAAAAAGGTTGGGGACCCCTGATCGAGAGTATTAGGCGAAGGAGGGAGCTTTTCCATTGGGGTCTACTGCACTGACCTTGGGGGTGCTTCTGTGTGGAGCTCTGGGGGTCAGACCCATGTGACTCTTCCGTGACCCAAAGTTGGTATTCTCTGCTCTGGGGACTGACTGTATTGTCCATCAAGCATTAGTATTCTATGGGACCGCCAGCTTTGCAGTGTGGCCTTCCCATGAAATTTCTATTGCACAGGTATTCTGTGTCTCTAGGGATGCTCTTTTCTCAAAGGTTTCTAATTATATAAACCTGAGGTTGGTATCCCCTAGGTTTGCAGAATACACTGGCTGATTCTGCATTGGCTTTTCTCTCCGTTGTTTTACCAAATCCAAGTTGGAACAGAAAAGGTGCTGCTCAAAACCACATTTAAATACCTTGGGGCAAAGTCACCCCTGAAGGGCCATAAATCTACGCAGAAGGTACCATAAAACCCGATGATCAAAGAACACGAAAGCGGCATGCAATGCAGGGGGGAATCTCTGTTAGAACGTGGGTTTGGTATAACAACAAAGGGAAAAGCTAATGCAGAATCGCCCGCTCTCTCCTATGGGACTCTTACTAAGGCCTATAAATGGTATTCTGGGGCGTTACGGTTGCTCTTTTCGCCAAGGTTCCTACGGACCCAGGGTTAGCATGCAACGGGTTTTTTGGGGGGGTATCCTTTGCTATGGGATCCTACCGTACAGTCCAGGGACCTCGAGGAGTGCTTCCCCTCTATGGGGTAGCAAGGGGGGAGGGCTTTCCCATAGCGATCTGGAGCGGACGTCTCTCCCCTCGGGCCTCACCTTGAGGGCCGCCATGGCCGCCGATCGGGACCCAAAACTGCGCTGGACAACCACCGCCTGAGACGAAGCAGTCAAGCCTCTTGTAAGGGGGGAGCCTGAACTTGCTCCCCAGCGGTGCACCAAGCACAACATCCCCGCCCCTCTCCACCCCGTTGCCATGGAAATCGCTTGAGTGACAGCTGCCATGGCAACCTGCAGCCTTTGAAGTTTTTCTCTCCACCTTTCTTCTCCTCCTCCTCCTGCCGCTCCTTAAGTGGCGCAAGCGCCTCCGTTCGGATTCAACCGAAAAAGGGAGGGGAGGAGAAAAGGAAATCTGCATACTCATTTGCATAATTTATACTTTTCGCGCTGTGCGCGCGATGATTGACGGCCGAGTTTGTACGGCGTGAACTTCCACTGAGCATGACCGAAATGTATAAATACAGATAGAGGAGGAGGAGGGAATTAAAATTACGTCCACTGGCGAGCAAGTCCTGTTGAGTTTATTGCGAATTTACTTCCGAAGAAAGTTGCCTTGGATCCGGCTGGGAAGCTGCAAAGCTCCGACTTGGATATGCCTGCTCAGTTGTTTGCAAATGTTACTGAACTGAACTCAGTTGGAATTTACTTCTGAGTGCCGCATGACGGAGTGAGCTCCCGTCTCTAGTTCCAGCTCCTGCCAACCTAGCAGTTCGAAAGCAAGATATTGCAAGTAGATAAATAGGGACCACTTCGGTGGGAAGGTAACAGCGTTCCGTGCGCCTTGCCGGCCACATGACCACGGAAATGTCTTCGGACAGCGCTGGCTCTTCGGCTCTGAAACGGAGATGAGCACCGCAACCCTAGAGTCGGATTCGACTGGCTTTCGAGCAAGGGAACCTTTACCTTTTTAAACATACCAAGTATCTGGCAGTAAAGGCACAGATCCCGCGTACCGATTGGGGCAACTGTCTGTAATCGATTGATGAGTTTTTGAAGGTGCCCCACCAGGATTCTTTGCTGCCCAAATCTGGGAGGAAGCCGTATTGATCTCAGTAAAAGTTTCTGAGCAAAGCTATTCAAAAGATTCTGGTTGTAGGGGTGCTATGCAGCTACTGACCAAAGATATTTACTTCCGACCAGCATGCACAGCATTCGGGACTACAGCCTAGAAGGCTACATTCTTAGCTACACTTGAGAGTAAGGCCGCATTAAATCTACGGATTTACTTCCGAACAAACATGCTTAACAAGACTCTGAGGCTGCAGAATCGTGTATATCTACAAATAGGATGGGACAGTAGGGTAGTAAATCCATCGAATGCAGAAAGATTTATTTCCAAATAAACATGCATGGGAGATTGGGCTTGTAAGGGTTCCTTGCATGCCATTTCAGTAAAATTTGTACTTAAACTTCATAAGAAAACGGGCTGCGAAACTGCATTTAAAAATATATCAGTTGCACAGCTTGCAGACTTCCCGCTATATGCTTATTTTAATATGTGCAAATAAAACAACTGGACGGGAATCGAAACCACTCGGAACAGTTATGACTGAAGGTCGCACTTTCCGGACGTGCGGTCAAACATAGTGCACAAACGCCGGAAGTTCCTCGATAGGACAGGAAGCTAATCTACGTCGCACAAGAAGTCGCGAGAGAGAGACACATTCGCTCACCTCTTCTGTTTCCGGAAACCAGTATCCCGAAAAGATGAAGCTGTTAACGCACAATATGCTCACTTCACACGTTCGCCCCGGTGGGGGTTTTCCCCTTCGTATTCAGGTAAGAGGAGGGATTTTCTCAGGCTACGTTCGCTTTTTCATTATGGAAATAGGAGTCTGGAAAGCGAGGTTTGTAGCTAATAACTTTTCTCTCACCCGCCGTTAGAATTTGCCCCGCGGGAGGGGAGGGACAGATTTTTTAAATATAATCGTTGTGCAGTTGCTGTAATGTGCCTTGGGCCACTCAAGGAACGGGTACGGTTCCAAAATTTCAAATACTGAGTCGGGCTTTGACAGATTTTCTTTCTTCTTTGGCTCTCCGAGCCAGCACGAAAAATTAGGAGCCAGGGTCATTGCTCAGCCTTCAGGGTTTTGTATTTTAATGATTATATTTTCTAACCACTGAACCGAATCATAAACGCTTCACTGTTAAAGCTATGACAGAATTGCTGTATATAAATAAATATAGGTTTTGTATGTTTATCATCACCACAACAAGCTAATCTAATGCTACATTTCCCCTAGTTTCTCATAATTAAATTTTTGCTTTAAAAAGTTCTGTTTAATTGAATATTGAAGCCTGGCTAGAAAGCAATTGGTTAAAAAATGATCTACCATCACATTGGGATAAAGTTAACATAAACAAGCCATGATGAGAACGTCATGGATGTGCATTTTTATGTCGTGCAGCAAAACATTCTGATTTGAAATGAGCATCACTGAGAGACACTACAATAAAATCACTGCTGAAAATACTAGGTGCCACAATGAAATACCTTGATGCCATGGCAACTTGGCGGCTGGGATTTGTCGAGCGCTGTACTGAGTACAAATGGCAAGTTTGTGACTGTGGTGGCATTTTTACCTTGGGCTTTTCATTCTTCGGATTACTTATAGACTTTATTAATTTTAATATTGTTTTAACTCTTGTACATTGCCCAGAGCCTTATGTATGCAGGGACTGGGCGATTCACAAATCTAAAGTAATAAATATATGTAGCACAAAGGGAATTCTGTCTTTCCATTGTTTGCAGTATCTTTTATCTATCTGTGCTTGATATAGGAAGATCCTTTCATATTCCTGATCCAAGGAGATCCCCCAATGTTTTCTTCATTTTATGACTCCTCCAGTTCCTGCCCTTCTACAATTGACCTTTCTACCATAGGTGAGGGAAAAGGAAGTTATCCTTTTTGTTACCAAGCTGTCTTCATTTTCCTCTAACAGGCCACGGAGGTGAAGGTGAACAACTTGGATTTCAACCAGGAGTTCACTGCACGGATGGTGCCCAAAGTGGAGTGGGGGGCCTTGGTGGAGGCAGCTGAGAGTGTGAGTAACTGGGGGTTGTCAGCAGCTTATTTTTTTTGTTCATGGCACCACGCTTTGTGGAACAGGCATGACACAGGATACGGAAGAGACAATAGATTGGCACTTGCATAATGAAGGAAGGGAGATCTTGTTTAGGAAAAGGGTGGGGCAAAGTGCTGTCAAGTAGCAGCCAACTTATGACACCCCCTTAAAGCAAGAGATGAACTGAGGTGGTTTGCCATTGCCTGCCTCTGCTCAGCAATCTTGGACTTCCTTGGTGGCCTCCCATCCAAATGCTTCTGAGATCTGATGAGATCAGGCTAGCGTGAGCCACTCAGTTCACGATTTGGGCAAAGGTAAGGTGTGAAAAGGGATCTTGATATGCTCCAGTTAGCCAGCAGGGTAAAAAAATTGCAGAAGTGGTCAGAGAGAGGCATGGGCCAGGCAAAGTATCGTGGAAGGAGGACTGTGGAGGAAGGATTAACAGAGTTTATAGGATTGTGTTGAGTCAGACCAGTAAGGTTTGGCCAAGCTCAGCATCCTGTCTGCTCTTTCACGGACAGCCAAATGTCACTGGGGAAATATATGAGTAGGACAAGATTTTCCAGCATCTGGTGATTAGACAAAGGACAGCTCCAGAATTTAGTGGGCTGATCTGGAAAAAATGTTATTTCCCTCTTATTTTTCACCCTCTTGCAGTTGGGTCACCGATCTGACCTGCCCTCTGAGCCTATCCCTGACTATGAGAAGAACGAGGAGTTTCTTCGAAAAGTACATCACGTGCTGATGGAGGTAAGGGCCCCCCCAGTTCTTCTCCCCCACACACACTGGTCCAGTCCTATGAAACAGGTCCATCTGCTACAAAAAATCATGGCTGTCCCTCAGATGGAAACTACAGAGCTGGAAGGCATCCCCAGGGGTCATCTAGTCCAACCCCCTGCTCCGTCTCTGAGCCGCTGTTTACTTTGTGTTTTTTCTTGCACAGGTGGAAGTGATGGAAGGCGTGCTGAAATGTCCGGACACTGGCCGGGAGTTCCCCATCACTAAAGGCATACCCAACATGTTGCTGAGTGAAGAGGAGACATGAGGGACTTCTTTCTTTCAAAGGAAGTCCAAGGAGGACGATGGGGGTGGGGTAGGGGAGGGCCTGTTCTTGAGCAGAATTAAACCTCTTATTTTTCTGTTTGAAAGGGAGACTTTTGCAATGGTTTCAGGGTGGGAAGAGGCGTTTCTCCAGCTGCAACATTTTGTTTGTAAATAAATGGTAATTCTCTTAAGCAGCTAAGGATAATCGCTTTTAACTTAAGAAACAACTGAGTTTCCCTCCTGCTCTTCACCTTCCTTGTCCAACTCAGCTCATGCCGTTTGACCGTGCCCCTCATGGTTTTATCAGGTCTTGAGACCCCCCCCCCCAATCCAAAGCTGCACTAGGATGTGATGGTAGAGGCAGAGGCCTAAGGCACTGGAATGAACATCCCCATTTCTGAATGCATTGGGGGGGCCCCCTACCAATTCTCCTTGACAGTAAAACAAAATCTCATCCTAGCAAAAACTGGCACAGAAGGGTTCTATCCTGGTTTGCTTACTCTCGGAGTAGTTGTTTCGTTTCCTGCATGAGTTAAAACAAACAAACATAGGGGAACATTTTAAAAGACATCCTAACCACCCTTCTGGCCTTCCATATTATAGTTCATTCTACTACTGTGCCTGCTGGTTTAAGTGGCTGAAGGTCAGATGATAGATGATGCCCTTGCCAGCATTCAGTCTTGCCTGTGCTGCAAGAGTTATTCTTCCTGCCTTGAGATTTGAATGCAAAAATGTCCTGTTTTGAGACCTTTCCAGCATGAAACAAGAGCTGGCAGGATGTTTGGGACTGTTTGTGCTCCAAACATCTTTATATGTGCATTGGGTGAATTCTTACGTTACATTCTGCATACGTGTAGCTGAATGTAATAAGAACCCATTTAAAAGTTCTGTAATCAGTCACTCAAGATAAAAGGCCAAAAGCTTATCTGAACAAATGAAGTTATATGGAGCTCTAAGAGCAAGCTTCCAACAGGCCATCTTTATCTGTGCTAATCTAGGGAGAGCATGTGGCCAATACCTCTACAGTTGAATGTGTGATTTCCTAAAATAATTTCCAGGTATGGTCCCTGGTTTCAGTTGAAAAGTAATCAGATGTTGGCTCTTTCTTACAAACAGATGCACACATATATATGTAGGGTATATGTGCCAAACGCCAAATAATAGATGCTTTCGAATTATGGTGCTGGAGAAGACTCTTGAGAGTCCCTTGGACTGCAAGGAGATTAAATCAGTCAACCTTTAAAGAAATCAACTCTGACTATTCCCCAGACGGCCATATACTGAAGCTGAAGATGAGAGCCAGTTTGGTGTAGTGGTTAAGTGCGCGGAGTCTAATCTGGGAGAACTGGGTTTGATTCCCCACTCCTCCACTTGCACCTGGCTGGATGACCTTGGGCAAGCCGTAGCTCTGATAAGAGCTGTTCTTGAAAAAGAGCCAATTTCTGTCAAGAGCTCTCTGAGCCCCGCCTACCTGACAGGGTGTCTGTTGTGGGGAGGGGAAGGGAAAGGAATTTGTAAGCCGCTCTGAGACACCTTTGGGTAGTGAAGGGCGGGGTATAAATCCAATCTCTTTTCTTCTGAAGCTCAAATACTTTGAGAACCCTCTTAGAAAAGACCTGGAAAAGTCAGTGCTAGGAAACGTTGCAATAGGAAGAGTTGAAGACCTAACATGAGATGGATTGACTTGAACAAGGAAGCCGCGGCCCTCAGTTTGCAAGACCTGAGCATGGTTGTCAACGATGTTTTGGAGGTCATTTATTCTTAGGGTTGTTGTTGGTCAGAAGCAACTTGAGGGAACGTAATGCATGCAAGAGCAACCCTAAGCAACTGACTTAAAAGGGTGTTTAGGATTACCCTTCACAGCAGTGTGGGATTTCACCTTGGACAAACAGGACCTTATTCCAAGACACTGAAAGGCTGGACAACACATCCAGTTACCATATCAGATTACACAGGGAAGCCATTGAAATCCATAAACATAAACACAATTTTGACAAGAAGAGAATTTAAAAATAAATAGGGCATGGTTTCCTCCATTCCACAAAATGCTCTACAATAGCACTAGAGATAAGATGAGAATTTCAACAGCCAATCCATATGCAAAAGAACCTCCTCAGGAAAGCTCCATTAGCATGTCGTAGCCTGGGGAACTCCTACAAGATAATGACTCAGCCCTACCCCACCTTCCTGAGTAGATATAAATTACTTGCCTACCATTTTCCTTCTCACCTTGACACAGAGAGTACTCCATCTTTCGGTGTTATACCTCTGAGAATGCCAGTCACGGCTGCTGATGAAACGTCAGGTACTATAATGCCAAGTCCGTGGCCATACAGCCCGGAAAATCTACAATGACTAATTTCACCCTGGATCTCTCCGAGATCCGGAAATGCCACCAATCCCCATCACCTATAGTCAAAAAGACAACAGACAGCAAATGACTCTTTATTAGGCTACGACAGCCTCTTTAATTTGTTCAGTAATAGAGCTCTCTATGTATGTGTATGTGCAGGCGCCTACACACAAATCAGAGGTATTTATAATATGTACACACACATAATTTAATTAAAAAAAAAATTCTCCAACTTCTCTTAACTTCCCCCCAGGGCAGGGCCAGGGAGGCTGCAGCCCCACCCGTGGGGAGGGAAAGCGAGCCGGAAATGGGGTAGATTTCGTTTCCTGCAACAAATATACAGTAAAATATATTGCTATGTACACGGCTCTCGGCTTCTGGCCATGCAGCCTCCCTTCTTAGTTCAGTGGGTCGGAAGGGTGGGGTTTATTGCTTTGGGTAGAAGATGGAGTTGGCTTGATTGGTCTTGGAGTATGCTGGGGGGGGGAGGAATAGCTGCTCAGCCTCTCTATGGCAGTGGGGAGGGGGGAAGGAAGAAGAAATCACCCCTGAAAAAAAAGCATTAATTGCCTTTTCAACTATTGCTACAAGGGAACTATGTGAAGGAACTCTGCTGGATGGAGCGCTAAAGCCGTATTCTGTAACGAAACCCCCCCACCCATCCTTGAACCTTAAGGCAGGTTCCCCGCAAAGCATGAGATAGGATACTGCCCCGCCCTCTGCATCAGAGAGATC